TGATTTGATGTTTTGCCAAAAAGTGCATGAGACATGATGCATGAGTGGGCATGTTGTCATGATGAAGCTACCAATCACCAGTTTCCCATAGCTGTGGCCTTCTGAATCATCTGAAATGTTTACATGGAGGAATGTTCAAGCTTGACTCAAAATTCGTGCAGATTTGTTGCTCTACTCGCTCAGTCATTTTGAATGCGATGCCACACACTACACATGTTCACTCAATGACATCTACCACCCCCACTGACTGGTACAGTGAAGCCATCATTGTTCAGGCATACACATTCCAGTCCACTCTCCATGGCTTCCAGGTTACGTCGATGCCACGCAAACCAATCTCGTTATATTAATAATGGCTGGACTTTTTGGAGACAGACTTCATATATGTTTTCCCTCAACTGATCAAACCCACAGTAGTATTCTTTCTGTGGAACATACAGGCTGATTCTAAAATATATGTGAAAGTACAAAACACAAAGACACTTCAAAAAAAGAACAAGCAGAGTAGAGGAAATAAGGGGGATAAATAGTAATGAAAAAAATAATAAAAAAGAACAAAATAGAGGTGTGTCTTCAAAAATATCAAAAATTATTTTAACGTTATTCAGTACTACAGTAGTGAAGTATTCACATGAGAATAGACAAAATAATCAATGGAAAGAAGAGAGAGCCTAGAAATAGACCCCCACATATATCAACATGTTATGACTAACTTTGCATTGTAGACCAATGAGAAAAGGATGGGCTCCTCAAGAATTGCTGCTAGAACACTTGGTTATACATATAGAGGGAGAAATGAAATCGAATCCTTTCCTCACACCATACACTAAAATCAGTTCTAAGTAGATTAAAAACTTTTAAAGCTTTTTAGTAGACAAAGAAAATAATTTTTATGCCTTTGATATAGGAAGGCTTCTTACACAAGCCATAAAAGAACTTACCATACAGGAAAAGAATGGTAAATTTAATTACATGAAAATAAGAACTTTTTTCATCAGTGTACATCATAAAGAGAGTGCAAACAAGTCACGATCTAGGAAAAGACATTTGCTACCCATAGTCAGGATAACATAAAGAACTGCAACACACCAAGACAAACCAATCCAGTTTTCAAAAGATTCAAAGCAAGCCCTTCACAGAAAAGGAAATCAAATGACTAATAAACATGTAAAGACATTCAACCTCATTGGTATTCAAGAAATACAAATTAAAACTGTCATGTGTTACCATTGCAAAATCAAAAACTCTAACCATAACAAGAGTAATCAAAGATTGTGGGATGGTACAACACTGAACAAAGATGATCATGGGATACTTTTGCTTGATTCCTTATCTTAAAAAGAACACATTTACTGCTGGTGGGAGCCCAAACTGGTACAAGCACTCTGAAAGCAATGTTGCGTCATAGAGAATAGTTGACAATGTGCATTCTCTGTGAAGCAGACGTCTCACTCATCCCAGGTACCCACTCTAAGAAACTCTTGTATCTGCACCACAGAGGACAGACAAACTGCTCCTAGCAGCACTGTTTGTAATAGCAAAGTCTGGAAACAACCAGAAAGCCAATCAACTGTAGAATGCATAAATAAACTGTAGAATATCCATATGGCAGAGAAAAGAAATGAATTACAACTGCATGCAGTGACACAGCTGTATCTCAGGAAGAAAATGCTGAATACTAAAAGCAAGTCACAGACGAAAACGAGATTCCATTTTTGTTAAGTTCGAAAACACGAAAAGCAGGCAGGATTTATTTTTAGAAACATATCCATCTGGTTAAACTACCTCTGAGGAGTGAGGCTAGTGGAGAAGATGGAGAGAGTGGCACACAAAGGACTTCAGAAATAGCAGTAAAGTTATTGTTCTTAAGTTGGGTGGTAAGTGCTGGGAAGGAAGGGAGGAAGCGACATCAGTTCATGGAGGAGAATTCTGCAAGTAAGTCCTCATTGAAAGGAGGGAAGGGGGCCACATAGGTGCTTCACTGAGTGTATTGTGAGATGAAGAGAAGGAAAACTGGGAGAAAAACACAAAGGGAGTAAGAGACAGGAGGGTCTGGGACAATGGACAGTGCAGAAGGCAGATTGTCAGGGAGTGTGAAATGGAAAGGTCGACATGAATTACCCATTAGGGTATTTATCATGTATCAGCTCAATCCTTAATGATCTCAGCAGAGAGGTTTTATACCCATTTTACAGATGAGGCAACTGATATCTTGGCTGCTTTGTTGACCCCTCTTCCACGTCTCAAGTGCCCCAAGGCTGTGAGATCTCTCTGATCTCTTCTCCATCTGTGCTCACTTCTGGGTGATTTCTCCCAATCCATAGCTCTAAATGCCATCCGTCCACTGACGACCTTGACATTGATAGCCCCAACCAGACCTCTCCTGGACACTACTGTCTGGTAGCACCAGCAGCTGCTCAACCGCTGCACTTGGATGTCTTATTGGCATCTCAAATCTAATGTGCCTGAATGAGAACATGTGATAAGGGACAGCTTCTCCGAGTCTTCCCCACCTCAACAACAATGGCAGCATCCCTTTACCCAGGTCTCACATCAAAATTCTTGGGTCACCCTTGATTCCTTTCTCCCTTCATACTCCATGTTTAATCCAGGAGCAAGTTCTGTGAGCTCTCCCTTCAAATAGATCTTGAATCCAGCCCCTTCTCATCCCTCACCACATCCTCCCTCCTCTAAGACCCCATGGCCCCTCACCTGGACGTTAGCCCACAACAATGCTTCCTGCATCCACTCTCTGTCCCCTTTCCATTTGTCCTCCACCCAGCAGCTGAATGGTCCTTTAGAATGCAGTCCACCTGGGCAGTGGTTACAAGGACGTGTTCACATCGTAAAGATTCACTGAACTTCAGGTCTATGATTTGTGTGCTATTTTGTATGGATATTATGCTTTGGCAAAGTAAAAAGTGCACTTTCATTTCCTCCTCCTCTTCTTCTTCCTCTTCTCTTCCCTTCCCTTTCTGAGCAATTCAGTCAAGAGCTCCTAGGTAAGGTAGGGCCAAGCAAGGGCGGCGGTGGAGAGCAACAACAGGGGAAGAGTGGCCTGGAGTGGTGTCAGAGCCTGAGAGGGGTGAGGAGGACATCCACATGAGGAGGTGACCCGAACAGGTGTTGAAGCTCCAGCAAAGTTAGGGAGTCTGTCACACGGGGGCGGGGGTGGCCGGGGCCAGGGCGGCATGGTGGGGAGTGGCCCTGTGCAGCAGCACAGCCGTCCGGACCAGGGTGAGATAAACAGAAATGCAATGAGGTGCCTGGCAGCACCTGCTACCACCCCCACCCGCAATGGCAACAAACACACCAAGGGCCCAAATCTTGGTTTCTAAACCTGTTCCCCACTAAAAGGAACCAGGGATCCTTGGGAAAGTATCCTGTTCCAGAGCTGCGGCAGAAAAAGTACCAGCTGAGCCTGGAACTTTGTGTTATGCCAGAATGGAAGGAAACATTCTGAGACAGGTGAGGACATGTCGTAAGGACAAAAAACAGCCTGAAAGGGCTCCCACTGGCTAAATCAGGGACAAACTGAATATCAGAATAAATAGTAATGCTAATATCACATCAACAGGCTAAAGAAGAAAAATCACATGATCTTGTCAATAGATGCAGAGAAAGTATTCGACAAAATCCAACATCTAATCATGATTAAAACTTTCAATAGCCCTGGCTGGTGTGGCTCAGTAGATTGAGTACCAGCCTGCAAACCAAAGAGTTGCTGTTCATTTCCCATTCAGGACACATGCCTGGGTTGCACGCCAGTTCCCCAGTAAGGGGCGCATGAGAAGCAACCACACACTGATGTTTCTCTCTCTTCCTCCCTCCCTTCTCCTCTGTCTAAAAATTATACAAGTAAGTAAGTAAATAAATAAATAAATAAATAAATCTCTCAACAAACTAAGCCTAGAGAGGACTGCCTCAACTTGATAAAGTACTTGATAAAGAATATCTACCAAAACAAAAAACCAAAAAGAAAAAAAAAAAACCAACAGAAAAAGCCACACTGCTAACAACATACTTCATGGTGAGAAACTTTATCACTAAGATCAGGTACAAGGTAAGGGTGTTCCCCTCACAATAGTTCTCCACATCGCACCGGAAGTACTAGTTAATGTGAGAAGACAAGAAGAAGAAGTGAGAAGCAGAAGGGAAGAAATATAACTTTCTTCACAAATGACATGATTGTCTATGTAGAAAATCCAAATGAAAAAACAAAAAAAAATTCTGCAACAGCAGCTTTCTTCATAACTGCTAAAACGTGGAAGCAACCAGCGTATCTATCCTTCAGTAGGTGAATAAATAGCTGAACTGTGGAACATCCAGATAGCCGATTATTCAGCATTAAAAAGAAATGAGCTGTCAAGACATGTCCTCCCCTCCCTGGCCTTCAAGCACCTTATTCCTCTCAGAAGCCTCTGATGTATTTGGTTTCTAGAACATGCTTTCTGAACTACTCTGTGCATATGCAAGTGTAAATGTATTACATATGTATATGCATATGATAGCGTTAATGTTTACTCTTCTGCCCCTTGCCTTTAATAAAAACTTTTATTTTGGAATAGTTTTACATTTACAGTAAAGTTGCAAGGAGAGTACAAAGTTCCTGTACACCCTCCCCTCGGTTTCCCCTACTGTTAACACCCTACATGAGGACAGTCCATTTTTCCCTACTAAGGAATCAGTACTGGTACACTATTAACTACATTCCACAGTTCACTCTAATTTCACTAGTTTTCCCTTAATGTCCATTCTCTGTCCTGGCATGCCATCCAGGACACCACATTATATAGAACTGACATGTCACCTTTGCCTCCTCTAGTCGGTGACAGTTTTGCAGCCATTCCTTGTTTTGGAGGCCCTTAACAGTCCTGAGCAGTATGGGTTAGGTTCTTCTGAGAAGAATGAGGTGCTTGAAGCGCAGGGAGGGGAGGGTGCTCCATTCCCTGTTCTACCTTCTGAATTCTGAATACCAACGGTTAACAATCGAGGGTTCGGTGCTGGTTGCGGCAGCACAGATACTGAAAGTGGAACAACGGAAGGTCAGCACAGCGCCTGTGCTAGGACGGCATGCAAATTTGTGAAGCATTCCATATTTTTAGTGTTTAGTGGGTACAGAGTTTCAGTTTTACAAGATGAAAGAGTCCTAGAGATCCACTGCACAACAAGGTAAATAACTTAACACTACTTAACTATCTACATAAAATGGTGGACAAATTTAATGTTATGGATTTTTTTTGCCACAATAAAGAAGAGAGTATTCTGAAGCAAAAGTAACAAAATGTTAATACCTGTTCAGAGATGGATACCCAGGTTATCTGAGTAATTATGTTGTGTAATTACGTTCTGTAATTACGTGCATATTTGAAAAATTAAAATCTCAGGCAAAGGATTTTGCATGTGCAAAGGCCCTGAGGCAGGATAAAGCACAGCCAGCGTTGGCTGGAGAGCAGAAAGCACAGGACAAGGTGGCACAGGATGAGAGAATTGGGTGGGGGCTCGATCACAGGGCCACAGAAGACAACACCCTTCCCACACATTCCGCCGGCTTCCGCCCTGCCAGACTACATGCATTCCTTCCTCAAGCACTGATGGGGCTCCTGAGTTGGCCTCCCAACCCACCAGTGCCAGCTTCGGCCCAGGCCCCGCTCTATCCTGAGCATGACAAGCGCATTGTTGCCCTTCTCCTGAAGGCTGCTTTCCCTTGCAGAGGCAGTTCTGAGCCAACAGGTTCTGTGGGCAGATGCCCCAGGGTAGGGCTCACAAAGACACCACTGTCTGGGACACCTCCTGGCCCAGCAGAGCAGGATCCTCGCCTGATCCTCCAGTCTCCACATCAAAGAGGAGAGTTCAAAGCTCCCACCAGCCACCCACAGCACACAGCCCAGCCCTGGTCTTGTGGTGCATTTCACCCCTCGGAGGTGAGGAGGGAGGTTGGGGCAGGACACTGGCAGTAGCTGGCAGGCGCTAGCGGGATGGTCATCAGGAGAAGCGCCAAGCCCCAGGGCACCGGCATCTCCCATGTGCACAGCACACTGCGTGGAAGGCAGGGTCTGTACGGATATGCTCAGGATAGGGAAGCCATGCCGAGTCACACAGCTGGCTGAAGTCACACAGCTGGCTGAGGTCACACAGCTGGCCTGGACCCTCAGACTCCCTGTCCAATGCCTCTCCCAGAAGCACAAGTGGCAGTCTGACTAATGCAGACATCAGGGCCAGGCCTCCCAACTTCACCACTTAGTAGCTAGGCTCTTTGGGCAGACAATGGACTCCTGACCTCGACCTCCCAAGGGTACAAAGTACAGTGTTGGGAACATTCAACAGACAGTAACTCTGTGACACCCTAGAAGCTACCCACTCGAGAGTTCTTACTTACCAGCTGACCCCTGCATCAGGGAGCATTGCTCGGGCTGACACGGGAGGAGGGCTGAGGGCAGCAGAGGGGCAGAGCAACCGCTGGGCAGGCCCAGCGCTGGTGGGCTGCCCTGGGCCTCCAAGAGAACCCTCTGGCGGAGACCGCCAGCCCCAGCGCCAGGCTCACTAGTTTAGCTGTGATTAAATGCAATCAGAGCCACCGAGGAGGTGGTGGGAGCCGGGAGACTTGGGGTCCAGTCCCCACGCTGCTCATAATACCCCATGTTACCCCGCATGGGTCACTTCCTTCCTGAGCATCATGGATGTTTGTTTGTTTTTAATCAGCAAAATGAAGAATTTGGACTTCATGAAATTAAAGGTCCCTTCAAAACTAAGGTGCCCTGGTTGCTGTGGCTCAGTGGATTGAGTGCCGGACTGCGAAACAAAGGGTCACTGGTTTGATTTCCAGTCAGGGCGCATGCCTGGGTTGCAGTCCCGGTCCCCAGTGTGGGGTGCGTGAGAGGCAACCACACATTGATGTTTCTCTCCCTCTCTTTCTCCCTCCTTTTCCCTCTATCTAAAAAGAAATAAATAAAATCTTTAAAAAACAAAACAAAACTATGGTCCTATGAATATATTTTATCCTTCCTAAATTCCTCCTAAAATAAATAGGTAGATAAAGATGGATGAATGGGCACCTGAGTAACAATAGGTATCACAGACTTGTCTAAAATTTACTTCCCATAGTCTTCCCACCTCAGTAAGCAGCCACTTTATTCTTCCAGATAATAAGGCTAAAACTTTGGAATCCCCCTGGGCCCTTTTTTTAATCCCACTCATTAACAAGTGGGATGGTTAATTGTATGTGTTGTCTTGACCGGCTGCAGGACATTCTGATTGAATGTTATTTCTGGATGTATCTGTGGAAGTGTGTCCTCCCCTTGTGGGTGGGTAGCACCCAGTCCATTGAGGGCCTGAAGAACAGAAGGCGGAGGAAGGGGAACTTTGTCCCTTTGTTCCTGCCTCACTGTTTGAGCTGGGACATCTCATCTCATCTCCTTCCCTCAGACCGGGACTCACACCCTTGGCTCCCTGGTTCTCAGGCCTTCAGATTGGGATTCAGTCACAACACTGACTTTCCTGCGTCTCCAGCTTGCAGACGGCAGACCGTGGGAATTCTCAGCTTCCGTAATCATGTGAGCCGGTTCCTCATAATAAATAAATCCCTGTGTGTGTCTGTGTGTCTGTGTGTGTCCTGTTGCTTCTGTTTCTCTGGAGAACCCTGGCCAACACAACGAGTTCGGCTGGTTTACCTTTGCGCAATGGGTAACACGCATCAGACGCGCTGAGCGCCAGGCACTGCTCTAAACACTTCGCATATTAAGACATGTAATCCTCACAGCGGTTCTGTGAAGTACGTACTCTTATCCCCATTCTACACATGAGAAAACTAAGGCACAGAGAGGTTAAGTGACTATGACAAGATGGGACTGAGGTCTGGAGGCAGGCGACCAGGCCCCGTGCCTGAGCGTGGGCTTTAAGACTATAGCACGCTGCCTGCCAGGGCTTCCCAATCGCCCTGCCACCACAGCCCTGGCCGCAGGCACCACGCTCTCTCATCAGTCCCCTAGTTGGAACCCTGCTGTCCCCTCACCTGACCCCTCACCCTATAATTATTTCAAAAGAGCAATAGAGAGCCCTGGCTGATGTGGCTCAGTGGATGGAGTACCAGTCTGAGAACCAAAGGGTCGCTGCTTTCATTCCTAGTCTAGGGCACATGCCAGTAGGGGGCGCATGAGAGGCAACCACACATTGATGTTTCCTTCTCTTTCTCCTTCCCTTTCCCTGTCTAAAAATAAATAAATAAAATCTTTTTAAGAAAAAGAGAGAGAGCAGTAGAGAGCTCTTTTAAAAGGCAAGTCAGGTCGTGTCACACCTTTGTCAAAGCCTTCAGGGATTCCCATGTCACTCAGAGACAAAGCTAAAACACCATGATCTGCCAGCCTCTACGAGATCTGTCCTCACCCCCTCCCACTCCCCACTTCTCCTCCTCCATGTCAGCCACACCGGCCTCCGTGCTTAACACACCCAGAGGCCTTTGCACTTGCTATTCCTTTCTCTCTGCCTGGAACACCCTTTCTCAGGTGCCACCCAACTCATGCTATCACCTACGAATGAAGTCTTCCCTGAGAACCCTCCTTAAAATCCCACCTGGCCCCGGCAGCCCCTCCCTTCCTACGCCTTTCTGTCACAGCATCTCATCCCAGCATGCTCATCGTCTGCAGCCTGTCTACTGTCTCTCTCCACACTAGACAAAACTCTCCATGAAGGCAGGCCCTGGGCTTGTTTGTTTACTACCATATACCGTGGGCTCAGAAGAGGCCCTTACGGTAGATGCTTAATGAACATGTGCTGCATAAATGAACACAGGACTAAATGAAGTTCCTACAGGTACAACTGCAGTCCTATGGGAGTTCAGAGGTGGCATTAGTCATGTCTGGGGATGGGAGCGTCATGTGACTGGAAGGGAAGTCTGGAAAGGCTTCCTGGAGAAGTTGCGGTCTGAGCTGGGCCAGCTGGCATTGCTGAGAGATTCAAGCACAGCTGCACAAAATGCCTGCACCCCCACAAGCAGGGGTCGAGTCGAGGTGGGTGGCAAAGGCAGGGGGTCCCCGGGATGCTCTCCCAGGCTGACTGATAAACTCAAGCAGGACAGCCCTGCAGAATAAGTTGCAAACGACCTTCTTACAAGGAGGTCTTGCAAGAAGGTCTGCCTGTGGTAGACCTTCTTGGAAGGCCATGAATATTCAAGACCACGATGTTACATCGGCAAAGCCTCAGCGCTGTTGCTCTGGGCCCTGTGAGCAATTCTAACATTCTCTAGTAGCGGGAAATCAGACAAATGAGGCAGAAAACAGGCCTGGGTGGTGTAAGAGAACGTGTGATTAATGACGGGGCATCTCGGGCTGTAAGAGGCCAAAGCGAGAGAGAGGCCCGGCGGGGCTGGAGTGCCTCAAGAGACCGAATGGAAACGGCGCCCCATGGCTCGCGTCTGGAAGGACAGCCTGAATTCTCTGTCAGTCAGAATGTTTTTGGTAGCAAACGGCAGAGAACCTGAGTAAAAATGGCTTAAGCCATGAGGACATTTATGTGGGCTTAACAAGCTAAGTGCAAAGAAAGGCAGTCCCAGGGTTGGTTTAATGGCTCCAAAAGGATCTTTGCTCCTTTCCCCCTTCCTTTCTGTCATCCTCAGCTGATCAGCTAGCAGCTTTGAACTGAATTCCTCCTGCTTCACAGCAGCACTGTGGCCGCCACAGCCTCAGGCATTCCCCCTCCCGCAACACTGTCCAAGGCAGGAAAGGAGGCCCAAGTCCGCCATGGGTGAAAAAGTTACGATGCAGTCATAAAGTAGAAATCCCACAGCAACTAAAAAAAAATTAAAACAACGAAGAACTGCTGTAAGTAACAGCCTCTCAACAAAAGAGGCCAGACCTGGGGGATATTATAATGGGGAGGCCATTCATGGGTTGGGGCAGGAGGTATATGAGAAACCTCTGTACCTTCCTCTCAATTTTGCTGTGAACCTAAAACTGCTCTTTTAAAAAAAAAGAAAAAGAAAAAAAGAAGCCAAACACAAATGAAGATAAACTGGGTGACTCCACTGATAAGAGCAGACAAAACTAATCTATGGTGATACAAGTCGGAATTACGGCGACCTCTGATAGAAGCTATCACCTGGGAGGGTG